GTCCTACGACCCTGCGTCTCCTCCAGGTGAGATCCAGAGCGACGTGGTGTTCCGTGAGGGACAGACTCTGGGCGGTCACGTCACCTACACGCCTCGCCTCATCGTCATGGATCTTAAAGGTAACGGCCTCGTGGGTTCTGCCTGGGCTGGGCCCGGTTCTGGTTCTGATGAAGTCTGTCTGTGTGCACAGGAAGTCTTCGAACTCTGCGACAGGAAGGAGGTCTGTACGACGCGGGCAGAGACGCCGCCGCCGTCAGCTGGTAAGCTGTAGCTGAGTGATGAAGACTCTGGTTTGTTTGATGATGAAGACTCTGGTTTGATGATGATGAAGACTCTGGTTTGTTTGATGATGAAGACTGTGGTTTGATGATGATGAAGACTGTGGTTTGATGATGATGAAGACTGTGGTTTGATGATGATGAAGTGTTTCCTGTGTTCAGGGATGGCAGCCTCATGATGCACCAGGAGAGTCCTCCAGAGAAGAACTCCTTCCTGGAGGACCTGGACAAGCTGGACGTAAGTGAAGCAGGTTAGATGCTGATGAAGGCAGCCTCCTCCTGACACCCTCTCTGTGTGCAGAAAGGACAGATCCTGGCAGAGGCAGACTTCACCTGCGACACTCAGCCTCCAGGTAAGAAAGCAGATCACCRTGTTTTTAAACCTGTCAGCAGCAGGCCTGACCCCGCCCCTCGTCATGCCCCGCCCCCTGCAGCAGCAGCCGTGAGCGTGGACACGGTCAACAGCCGCCTGACTCRGGTCCAGAAGAGCTACAGGCTGGAGCGCAGCGTGAAGGTGTGGTCYGACTTCCTGCGGATCCACCTGCACCCCCGCACCGTCTCCATCATCCACCAGTACAACCATGACGGGTAAGAGGAGGCGTGTCAGGGGTCAGGGTCAGGGGTCAGGGGTCACCTGTGTCTGTGTCTGAGCAGAGAGGCTCATCGTCTGGAGGCCTTCGGTCAGGGAGAGTCTGTCCTGCAGGGGGCGCTGCTGGACGAGCTGGAGGACAAACTGCACTTCTTTGTGGAGGAGTGTGACTATCTGCAGGTACCTCCTCCTCCTCCTCTTCTTCTTCTTCTTCCTCCTCCTCCTCCTCACACCTCCTGTTCCGTCTCAGGGGTTCCAGGTTCTGTGTGATCTGGCTGATGGATTTGCAGGCCTGGGGTCAAAGGTCACAGAGCTGCTGCAGGACTCTTACGGTGGGCGGGGCATCCTGACCTGGGGGGCGTGGCCTGTGAGTCACCCTGGTTCGGTGAGTGGTCTTCAGGCTGTTGTTTGTGTAGAGCTGCAGGTTCTGTAACGATGGTCTGTCTCTGGTCCAGACTCCTCTGAGGGACCGCTTCCACCTGCTGAACTGCACCCTGGGTTTGGTCCACATGGCCGCTCACAGCTCCCTGTTCTGCCCCCTGACCCTGAGGGGCGGGCTCTGCAGAGGCCCCGCCTCCCCACCGGAGTTCCCCCACCTGACTTATGATGTGAGTTCTGCAGGGYTGTGATTGGTTCAGTTAGTTTGATCTGATGATGTCACCTGGATCATAGAAGTTCTGATTGTAGACTCCTGATCTGAGCTGTAGAGCTGGTTTATCTGTTCTCAGGTCAGTTTGTGACGAACAGATCCTCTGAAAGACCAGAACCTAACCTGCTGAGTTTATTCATCACAAATAAATAAATCCAACACAAACAGACACACAGCTCACTTCCTGTTTATTAAAACTCACTTCCTGTTTATTAAAACTCACTTCCTGTTTATTAAAACTCACTTCCTGTTTATTAAAACTCACTTCCTGTTTGTGCGTCTCCAGCCCTCGCTCTGGTACCACTCCAGTTCTGTCCTGGCTCTGGCGCTGGACAGCCTGACGGCGCCGTACAGGCTGAGGAACAACAGCGCCCCCATGTGGCAGGTGGCGGACTCGCTGGCCGTGTCGGGGAGGAAGATGATGATGATGATGATGATGATGATGCTCGTTCTTCTGACCTTCTGGTAAAACGTCCTCTAACCTCTCAGGTGGTGGCCGCCTACGGCGCCGTGCCGTTTCCCATGATGCTCGGCAGCTCCTTGCCCGACGCCCTGAGCGCCTGCGCTGACGCGTTGCCATGGAAACCCCTCTCGGCGTGCCCGGAGGCGGGGGACGGTCGATGCTACGGGCAGTGGGCCACGCTRAAGGGCCTGGAGGACCAGAAGCTTCTGGGGTCAGAACCTGATCCTCTGAAGGATCTGACCTCAGGTCTGGTCCTCATCTACTTCCTGTCTCTAACAGGTGTTTGTCTCCGGGGATCAAACCACCGACACCGCTGCACGCCCTGCACAGCGCCGAGGACGTTCTGTCCGCCTACATGTCCTCCTTCTTCCCCTCAGCTCCTCTGTGAGTCTCCGCCCACACCTGAAGACACCTGCTGTGAGTGTCTTCATCACACCTGTCTGTCCCACAGGGCGCTGCAGCTGGTGGCCACGCCCAGTAAGCTGACTCCGCCCTTCCCGCAGATCTTCAGCAGGTCCCTCAGTGCTCAGGGCTTCCTGCAGAGCGAGGCGGCGCCCCCTGCTGGTGGTGAGTTTCTACTTCCTGTTTCATTCAGACATGTTGGTTTGTTTTGTTTTTTGAAGCCACTCGTGTCCACAGCTCCGGCCCCGCCCGTCTCCTCCGTCCCCGTCTTCACGTCGCTCCAGTCAGGCCCCGCCCTCGAGCCCTGGCTCTCACAGCTGCAGCGAGCCGCCAACGCCGTGGACGTCCGGCGGGTCGCCCCCAGCTTCCTGTCCCAGGGCCCCGAGCTGAGCGAGTACCAGGAGGCCCTGGAGGAGCTGCGCCTGCTGGCCCGGCGCTACCGTGACGACAGCAGCGGCGTGATGCGCTCCTCCTCAGAGGAGGAGGAGGAGGACTGATGAAGGAGTTACATGAAAGAAACGGTTCCTGAAGGACCAGGTCCAGAACCTGGTCCTTGTACATTTGATCAGGTCCTGACCCTCCACAGGTCCTGATCCAGACTCCAGTCCAGGAGAAGTGGTTCTGGAGTCTGGAGGTGAGTTTCTGACAGGTTCCACCTCCTCAGCTCGTCTTCAGGTTCCAGAAAAGTTGATATTTAACAGATGTTTTCTTCTGGAGCCTGAAAGCTTCAGTAAACATCTGATTTCTGTTCAGACTGTTTTTATTTTGATAATAAAACTAATCAAACGTTTAAACTTTGTTGTTTTATGTCTGAAGCTCTGAACAGCAGGAACCCTGTTTAAAATCATTCACTCTGTCAACCCCTAAATGCCATGAGAATGAATAAATATATACACACACAATATATACACACAATATATATACAC